ACACAGCGGCCATGCAGGGCCCATATAAGGATTGAGGAGCAGCGCGCTCCGTGTAGTGCTCCTTTGTGGAGTGATTGGTTTGTGCATGTGTGCAGTAATTCAGAGAAATTTGAGAAAGGACGGAGTCTGGCCCGACCGGGCCCTGGAGGCCTCTGTCCAAAAGAGTCCGAAAGGTAGCCGCAACTGCCTTCGGAGACCTGTGGACCCAGCACGCTCTATAGAGCCCTTTCTGCTATTAAGGATGGTGGTACTAGAGTGTATTCTTCATCTCTCATTATGGATGCTAAAGCTGTGTAATCATCCAGTCTGACGCTTTGTAGGACCGGCAAAAGCACTCCTTGGAGCGCTTGGGACAGTCTCTGGCATCCTTCGGGGCCGTCCGATTGATGGAAAGGCCAGGCCGGGGCAGGTCGTGCTCGAATACGCCCGTCAGAGTCATAGGCTTTGCCTTAAGGGTTGAAAACTTGGGGGACTCAGGGCAGACTGCGCGCCTTCAAGGTACTTAAGTCGTTTTGATATTGCATACAAGTAGCAGCCAAACGATGATGGAATCACGGATCGGGCCTAGATCCCCGTCACAAGACACAGCTCCAGGTTTCGATTACTTGCATACACATTGCTTCCACAACTGCTCACATGAGGCCGTTCAAGCGGCGCATGTGCCCGGAAGCCATCGAGAAGCGCAGAGCTCGTTCTGCTGAGGCAGGTTCAAGAATCGTGCAACATGTAGTGTTTACGTAGTTCATTTCACATTAACAAAGGCCTCCCCCCCGCAAGGAGCCTCCGTAATAAGAATCCGGATCAACTCAAGCGTATATCATTTTCAGTTCCTTGGAGATTTCATCTATATAAGCAGGATTCTGGTTACATTTTTTCCGCTCCCGCCGCTAGGATTATGCAGAAAGGGGGTTCTAATTCTAATTACGTTTAGGGAATTGGATTTTGCAATGACATTACACAGTGCAAGTCCTGAGCATGAGAAATTCGTCCCAGCTGCGACAGGGGGCTAGCCCCACAACCCCAAGCAAGCAAGCAAACGAGAGCGCGAATGGACGGGTCTCGGGCCTCCGTACCACAGCGAAATCAAATGCTTTGCAGGCGAAAGTTTGAAAGGCGGGTTGGGTGAAAAGGTAGCCCGCGGTTCTTCGGAAAGCAGAAGAAGATCGGGGAAGGGACGTCTCGATTGGCTGGCGTCTGAAAAATGGACGTCTTTGTTTATGTGTGTGTAGGTTGTGGGGTCGGCTTGGCAGATTGCAGAGGCGCTTGACGTCCTCCCACGCTGGCTGGCAGGATCGCAGTTCAGCGAGGCCTGGACGGTTCTCTGACAGCTGAGCACAGCTGAGCTCATTTTGCTGAGAGCACGGCAGGCTGCCCGAGAAACTCCCCGAGGCGCCTGCAAGGAATGCAAGGGGAACTGCAAGTGCCGCAGCCCCAAGTGCCGCCACCGTCACCCACAACACTCGCTCCTTCGGCTTCGGCTAGAGTCGGCTAGAGGTCCTAACGCGCACAGCCCTGCAGAGCTTCGCTTCCCAGCGGCCCGGGTCCCCGGACAAGCGCAGCTGCGCTTCTCAGCTTCTGCCGGCTGGATCTCACTGCGCCGGCCAGTGCACAAGGTCTCAGGATCAGGTTCTGAAGGAAAACCAGCTGCACCCTCCAGCAACCCGATGTAAGCTGTTAAGCCAACGCAACATATGCCGGGCAGGGCGAGTCTGTGCAGCGACGGATGGACTGGGTCAAGAAGGCCAGAGACTGGGCATGAACTGTGGTCAGCATTTTCCAGTCTGTTAGCAGCTGTTAGTTGCTGAGAGCTGCTGCGATCTGCTGCGTGCCCCTTTCCCGCTACTCCGCCGGGCGGTGCCTTGAGAGCCCCTTCTGCGTTTGTGGACAACACACATTTGTACCAGAGTTCCAGCCGGTGCCAGGCAGTCAGGCGAGCCGACACGAAGTTAGAAGCAGCTCCGAACTCGGCGGCAGAGCGAGAACTCGACCAGTGGCGCCGGCGCTTTTTGTCTGTGACGTCGCTGGTGCTTATTTGCAATATCTGTGCATGGCCCAAAGCATAGCCGGTGACAGGAAGCGGAAGAAGGAGGAGGAGAAAGTGCCGCCACCTCCGGCACCTGCAGGCAAGAACTGTACTCGGTCAGATGACGACCAACACTCATTGAACTGCTCCACGTCGAAGATTCGGCAGGAGCTCCTAAGATTCCAAAATGCCCCGTGTTAGATGCAGCTCAAGTGCCGCTGCTCCCCAGACCTAGGCGAGACGCAGCGGCCTCGAGTGGAGGAGCGGTTCAAGAGGGTGCTGCTGCGAATCCTGGATGAGAAGGCGGGTATGGAAGACATGATGTGCAGCGGCGCCGCTTCCGTTACGATTCACCCAATGTGCTATTGGGAGAGAACTGTGCCCACGGCATCCCACGGCCCCATATGTCAGTTCGGCCGTCACTAGCAGCCCTTTGTGCTTGTTTGCGGGCAGGAGGCGGCTTGAAGTCTGGATTTGGAGAGAGCGTAGCCGCACGTTCGAAGTATGTGTCGATGAACGCTGCCCTGTAGGCACCTGTGCTGCATGCCTGTCTGCTCAGTGTTGCTGAAAGGTAGGTAGCGGCAGCGCTTTTGAGACGATGCCGAACGGGAGCAGTGG